GGTTTCTGATAGAACACACACACACGCACACACACATGCACACAAATATACATGTGCATACATGTGCACACAGATCTGCACATTCACATACATGTACACAAATGCATGCACTCATGTGCACATGCATATACTCATGTGTACTCATGCATTCACCATACACACACACACGCACACACATGTACCCATCCATGCACACAGGCACACACATATACAATGTCCTCCTTTGGAACAGGGACCCGGCATCATCTTCCCTTCTTGGGTTTACCTACTATTATGTTCTCAGAAACCACGGATGTTCCCTCAGAAAGCTCAGCAATGTGAGGTCCTGTGAGGGTTGTTTGTGGAGGGCTAGGAACCCTCTTTTATTTTGGAGAGCCCCTCTTGGCCCCTGGCTACCAACTAACAGGTTAAAACTGTGGCCCTCATCCCTGGAGGCTCGGGACCACAGTCTCTATCCAGTCGGCCATTCAAAGCCAGGTGTCCCTGTGGGTAGCTCCATGGTGCTGTGATTGCCAAAGTCCCCAGGGAAGGGATGACAACAGTCATGCCCTAGGCATCATAGCACTTTACTCAAAGGCTGCGCTCAACCTGGGCCACTTGGCGCCGGCCCCAGGGCTACTTTCTGTTAGGAGCTGTGTTCAGTCTGGTTGTGGGAGGACGAGGGAGAACAGGGAGAACGGCTCTTGGCTCTGTTCAGACCCCTCCATCTCAGTATGTGATAATTCACAGCTGCTTCACACATAGTGTAAACCCTGACCTAGCTGCCCCTGGATGAAGGAAGAATGAAGGAGCTGCCTCCCAGCTGCAGTCTATGTAGCAGAGGAGGGACTGGCACATGGTTCTCTGATCCAGGCCCCCATGGCTGGGCGGATAGCAGGACCAGCCTGAGAATTGTTCTAGAGTTTGGGGGGGTATCTGCCAGCAGCTCACTGTGGCCCACACTGCCTAGCACATGGCTGGGTCGAGATCTCCGCTCTGGGTCTCAGCGGGTCCCTGGGAAGGTGTCGTTGTCCGCTGCCCCATTATCTGGAGGCTCCACTGAGGCAGAGCCGGCGCCATGCTCACGTGGGCTTGGGGCTAGGTTATTGACTTCTAGGACAGTGGGCTGCTGGGAATGTCCATTTTCAAGTTGTCTGGGGAAGGGGTGCTTTTGGCCCTGCCTCCGGTAGGCCTCGTAGGGGACTGGGGGAGCTCTGTGTGTGACCTTGGGAAAGACAGTCGGCCGTCTCCAAAGTAACCGTCCCACTTTACATTCCCATCTATGCAGTTTTCTGAATCGTCAGTGCTTCTTGGTAAAGCAAAGGCAGTTTTTGAAGGCGGTACCCAGCCACTTCTGGAAGCACTGGAGCCACAAGAGGGGACCGGTGTCCTTCAGCATGGCCCCTGCTGGCCTTGAGTAGGGTGGACGCCTTGAAGCCCTGCCAACTTAGCACCACCTTATGGAAAGGGGTCACCAGCAGGCCTGGCCCTAGTATCTTGAGTGGGTGGGTAGGTGGGTGGGTGAGTGGATGGATGAATAGATTGACTGCTGGGTATATGGATAAGTGCCTGAGCAGAGGGATGAGTGGGTGGGTGAATAGGTGGATGAATAGATGGATGGGTGAGTGGGGGGATGAGGAATGGATGGGTGTATGAATAATGGATGGATGGATGATTGGATGGATGAATGGATGGATGGATGGATGAATGGACGTGAGTAGATGAGTGGGTAGGTGGATGGATGAATGGCCTGCTAGATAGGTGGATGGATAGGTGATGGGTAGATGAATACATTAGTCAGTGGGTAGACAGATACAGTGTTGCCGAGGTGTGGATGGATGATGAGCGAGGCTGAGCCAGATCACGGGGCTCTTGGATGTCACAGTTCCCGCCTATGGCTTGCTGTCCGTTCCATCTTCCTCCCTGCCAAAGTACTTCTCTTGGAGGCCTAGTTCAAATTTCACCTGTTCCAGGAAGCCCCCCAACCCACCTCAGTGCTCCCTGCCCCTTTCCCGCTCCTCGTCATCTTCTGCTCTCTGTTTATCGTGCCCTGCTTGTGTCATAAGCTGACTGAGGTCACAGACAACTGCTTAAGTTCAAAGCGCCAATTACTGCACAAGCTCGGACAGGTCGCTGTGCCAACTCCCTGGCAAGGGGGCCACTGGCAGGATTAACTGTGTGAGTCAGTGTAAAGGCTTGAATGAGTATCCAACACTTAGTAGGTACTTAACAAAGGGGCTCTTTTCTTCTTACTTCTGCGCTGGGCACTTGCCAGCTCCAATCCTCACACCCGTAGCTCCTTCCTGGGAGTCATCTCACCTCCACAGTGCCCAGCAAGACTCTGCTGACTTCTCAGTTCCAGGAGGAAAGGTGGGACACAGGGAGGGGTCAAGGCCAGGATGTTCACAGCCCTCCTCCCCTCCAGCCAGTCGCCAGGACTGGCATGATGATACGGCTTCCGTTTGACCCACAAGCCCCTCTTGGCAGCAAGAGCTGCAGGCTGACTGGACAACGTCCTGTGACCCATCCTGAATGTGTCAGACCCACACTGTGTGGTGGAAATTCCTAGTGGAATTTTTCACAGTGGTTTAGGGCAACGTTGTAAAGTAGCTGAATCTCTGCAGGATGGGACCCTGATCTATACAGGACTCGGACCCATGCCGTTTGGATGGGCCCACCTCAGGCCCCAAGGAGCAAACGAATGAGTGAAGAATGAATGATTTGTGTGGCCTGAGTGCCACCTCCTGGCTCCAGCCAGCATGCTGTGGGATTTGCGGGGGCTGTGGCTGGGCAGTGTCACCATATGTGTGCAATAAATTAAAGCATTCCAGGAAGCAGAGCCGTAAATTTATCCGCCTCTTGCCTGCGGGGCTGGTGGGGACTGCACTTGCCTCAGGAACTCCGAGCAGCCCTCTTACTTAGGCACTTTGCTCCTATGCAACTAATCCTTGAAAAGATTTTTTTTTAATTAAAAATAACTGGATGAACAGAAAACGACTTTTCAGTGGTCCTGTGGTCTCAGCGAGGGAGCGAGGGTCACCAGCCCCAGGCCTGCCTCCCGTGCTCCTAATGGCTTGGCAGGGGCCCAGCCTCCCACCAGGCCTGGGAATCCCGGAAGCCTGGGCTGACCCGGCCTGCAGCCTCCGCCTCTTTGTCTGCTCCCTCTTTGGGAGCGTCACTTTCCCTTGGAAAGGAGATGGGTTAGTTAGAATAGTTTGGGCAGAACTACTGGGTGAGGGGAGGTGACAAGCCAGGTCCTGGGCGTGGGGGCTGAGAATGCTCTAAGATAGTGAGAAGGTTTTGGAGATGGATATGGTAACATGGGATGGCAGTGTTGCTGTGCTGATGATAAAGACACTTAGAGATGGTCACCTGGTGAATTCTGTGTTGGGTATATGTTTCCACAACCTAAAAAACCGCAGAAGTGGGCCAGCAAGATGGCTCAGTGGATAAAGGTGCCTACTGCCAAGCACTCACGATAACCCGAGTTTGATCCCCAGAACCCACATGGTAGAACGAGCCTATTCCCATAAGTTGTTCTCTGACTTCCACGTGTGCGTGCACACACGCACACACATACACACACACATACATACACACACGTACACACCACATGTACACACACATGTACACACATACACACACATATACACACACATACACACACATATACACACACACAGAGGAAATAAAGAAAATGTAATAAAAAAGTAAACTAAAATGTAGGAAAAAAAAAGAAGGACTGGAGAGATGGCTCAGTGGTTAAGAGCACTGAGTGCTCTTGCAGAGGACCTGGGTTCGAATCCCAGCACCCACATGGCGGCTGTGAACCGTCTGTCACTCCAGTTTCAGGGAATCCCATGTCCTCCTTTGATCTCCACAGGCATTGTATGACATGGGTACACAGGCAACACACTCATACACATAAAATGATTAAAAATAAATAAATAAGAAATAGATAAATAGAAGATGTGGAGACTGGGGAACTAGGTGAGCTTCCTTCAGTCCCAAGGATGACTGTGCTGACCTTGACAGGGTCAGGCTATCTGCAGCTGGCAGTCACCACACTCCATCAGCGCTGAGGACGGACAGCCTCAGAAAGGCGGGATTTGCTGTTGCTCCACTCCCCTGGGGGCGACTGAGCCCAGGGGCTGGGCGAGCCTGACGCAGCCCATTTCCTTGGTCCAGCTGTGTGTGCTGATGGGGTCTAGATGCCTACATGCAGTGGGTGCCCCGGTAGAAGCCGGGTGCTCTGGCACTGGCTGCGGCCAACAGGATGAAGAGAGACATGTAGCAATTCCACAGAGATGCACCGAAGCCGGAGGCTGCCTGGTCCCCAGGGGTCCCCTCAGGCCTGTGTTCCTTTTGACCCCCGAGATGGTGATGCAGGGATCTAGATAGGATCTATATAGAGCTGTCTGTGTCAGGAGGTAAGACCAGACAAACTTGTGGTGTGAAGGGAAACAGTCTAGCTGTCCCTGTCCCCTGAAAGACCCCTTTCCCTGGTGTCCTTTCCACCCACTCTGGGCAGTGGGGCCCTCACCCAGGCCTCACAGCAAGTCATGACAGAATCTTGATGTGGAGGAGACCTCTTAGCTGCCTGGTTTGAACGAGACCGTTCCCCAGAGTATTCAAAGACGTGAACCCCCTCGTTCTGCAGGGTGCAACTGAGATACATCAGGTGTGCACCAGATGGTAGGCACCTAGACTGGTCCTCATAGCCCCCAGGCGACAGGCTGCATGAGGCTGGATGCTAGTGCACCCCCAGCTCCATCTTAAGCCCCACCAGGGTGGTTCTCAGAGGATAAGGGGCCTTCTGTGCTAGACTGTTGAGTGGTGGACACAAGGTGCCACAGCGTCCAGCCTGGGGTCCTTGTTGGGGCAATGTGAGCACTCACTGTCCAGAGCCAGTTCAGCTGAACTGCTGACCACAGAGACCAGGCTCCAGTGGGGAGGGATGGCAAGATGGCCCAAGCCCCCCTCCCCCGCTGCCAGCTCACATGTACCTCTTTTTCCTACAGGTCACCTCTGCCCCTCTGGAGGCACCAACCACTATCCATGCTCCCGCTCCTGAGCCTGAGCCACAGCCAGTGCCCCACGCAGAGAGCCTGCCCAGGGGTACCAGGTCCACCCAGGAGCTGCGGCCAGCGTCGAGCCAGCAGAGCGGCCGGGACGGCTGGGATGGGGACGGAGCAGACCTCACAGGCGCAGGTATATCCTTTGCGTCCACTCATGTAGGCTGGGCCTGAGCTGACCCACAGGCTGGGGCTCCAGAGGCCGAGTTCCCACAGAGTTCAGAGTTAACGTTCTATCTCACGTCCTTGGTGTCGAAGGGCTTGGGTCCCCCTGCTGGGGTCTGGAGTTTTATCTTTATGCTCTGTCTGTTACATGGATTTACCTGTGTGCTGAAAGATTCACATCATTTACACCTGTAAATATTGTCACAGCGAACAAGAGTCCCTAGGCCATTTCTGGGTGACGTGAATGTGTGTGCCAAGTATTGTAGGTGTGCGTGCAGGTTTCCTAGGCTGGGCCAGCAGGTACAAGGATGTTCACAGGGGCTGCCCAGCTCGACGCCCCCACAACCTTCTGTAGTTGTCCTATGACTATGTTTTTGCCAGGTCAGTGGCCAGGGCGGCCCTCCTGGGCCCATCAGTCTCGTGTGGACTCCTGAGGTCTTTACAGCTGACAGAAGACATAGTGGCCACCTGTGTCCTTGCGGTCTTTTTCTAAAGCTCCGGGGAGGCTCCCGGGGCCACCCCAGACTGTACTTACATCAGTAAGACCCTCTGGAGAGGGCTGGGGTGGAGAGGACCAGGGAGGAGTGGAGCCTGGAATCCCCAGCCTAGCCCATGAGACAGCACAGGCCTGAAGAATAACACAGGCTTGTTAGAAAACAGTCTGAGCCAGGACTGAGAAGGGGAGGTGACAGGTAGGCCAGGGAGCATGTAGGGACAGTTGGTTAGACCCCCTCAGGCCCAGACTTTGATCTGGAGTGTTCATCTAGGGGTGAACCCAGTCCCATCTTCTTTTTCTCTGTGAGGTCCAGGTCCAACAGACTAGGGGCTTATGGGCCTCAGGGGCTCTGAAGGGCTTCAGACCTGGCAGATATGGACAGGGTGGCCAGGCAGCAGAAGGGGCTGCAGAACACTTCCTGTTCAGGACTAGCACACACACATCCACCTGGCACGCTCAGAGCCTTGCATCTGTGAGATTGGATGGTAACCGGTGGGCCTGGCGCCCACAGGAGGTGTGGGGACCAGCAGAGGGAAGAAGTTGGGTGTAGGCCTTGACACTTGGTCAGCACTGTTGGCGTCCCCAGGTCGGTAGGCAGAACACAGTGCCTGTGTGGGCAGCACCTCCCTTAGCTGCCTACAGGTCTGCCTTATAGAATCCAGGGTGCTCCAATTTGTTGATGAGCACTCAGACCCCAGGACATGACCTTCTGGGCTGGGGGCCCAGACCTAGGCAGCCTACCTGTCTCTGCACTCACGCCCCTCAGTCCCTCTGGGCAAAGTTGAGCCTGTTTACAGGGACCAAGCAAGTTCTTAGCCTGTCCCCAGGGCAGGCCAGCCCCTAGCGTGGTTCATGGAAAGCTGGTGGCTGCACTTGCTTTGGGCTGAGAGAGCTTCAGCAAGTTCATGTCTTCCGAGCCTGCGTCTTTGTGGCTGTGAGATGTCCATGGCAGCAGGTGGCCATGACTTTCTGTGACGCCCCTGAGAGTGGAGGTGTGCGTGGTTGTCTCAGCGTGACTCTTCACATGAGTGGAGCGGTGTGCTGCAGGCTCTGAGGGGCTGAGGCTCCCGCCTCATCCCACAGCCACCATGGGTCGTTGGGATTTGAACCCTGTGTCTGGCGCCGGCAACCCACTCAGCTGTAGCCCTGTTTTGGGTGGGTTTTGGGGGGTGGCATTTCCATTTCCAGTAAGGAGTCCTATTTAGAGTGTTGGGGACAGGGCTTGACACTCCTGTGGCCCCAACAGTAGCTCCTGAGTGGCCAGAGGAGCCCCATGTCCTTGTGGGTTGAGGCTGTGTTAGAAGACTCCCTGAAAGTCAGCAGAGTCAGGGGTCCAGAGTCGGGGGACATCCCTGCTGTTCCAGCAAGGCAGATCTGGGGACCAGGCAAGAGGGACTGGCCAAGAACCCCGCCCTGTGGTGAGGGCCTGGGTGGGGCCCTGGGCCCCCGTCTGCCAGCTGCTCCCGCCAGGCTGGCCAGCCCGGGGCAGCTTCCAGCTGAGCCAGCCAGGAGCATGGCCTACAATCAGGTCCCAGCGGGGCAGCCACGCCGCTCAGAAACTGACGGTGATTGATGGCCTATTACACACCTGCCACCTCTCATCCAGCCGCATGCAGCGTGGCCTCACTCCAGCTGTGCACTGCTAGCTGGCAGCAGAGCCTGACACATGGGACATGGAGATGGGCCACACAGAGTGAACATGCAAACACATGCAGGGATCCATGGACGCAGAGATGCACACATCAGAACACACTGTACACATCACACGGACAGGTATACGTAAATACAGGTGCTCAGACACATGGCTATACACCAGCTCACATGGCTATGTGGAATGTATACAGATACCCAGACAGGAAGAGGACAGCACAGAAAGAGAGAGGCTGAGCACACAGACATACCAACACATTCATATGCACAGTATGTGTATGGAAATGGGTTCTCCCATAGCTACACACTTGGCCCTCATGGACACAGCACACATGTGTGTACACAGACAGGGCCCATACCTTCTACTCATGTGGATGGCCACAGCACCAGTCACACTCACAGGTGCATACATGCACAGTCCTGTGCACATCCTCGGTACACGGAGGCACATACACAGACTCTCCACAAACACGCAGACTTGCTAGTGACTGTCTCACTGCTGTGACAAGATGCCTGAGCAACCAGCTTCTGGAAGGAAGGTTTGCTCTGCTCATGGCGGGGAAGGCGTGGCAGAAGGAGCCTGAGGCAGCTGCTCACGTTGTATCCACAGTCAGACACAGACACACTCAGGACACGTTCTCACACACCTCCATCTCATGTGCACACACATATACACACACAAACTCAGCTCATGTACATACACACACCCATCTCAAGTGTGCACATACACATAGATACACACATGCCCATCTCATGCCTTTACGCAGACACACCCAACTCATGTACACACACCCATCTCATGTGCACACACAGGCACACCCTCCAATGTGCACACACACCCATCCCATGTGCACACACACAAGACGCACATCTTGTGGGCACACAGACACAGACATACACACAGGCCCATCTCATACACACACACGCACACACACAGACACACACTTCCATCTCATGAGTGCACATACACACAGACACATACCCAACTCATGTACATACACACACATCTCACGTGTGCACATACACATAGACACACATGCTCACTCTATGTGCACCCACACAGACACACACCCATCCCATGTGCACACACACAGACACACACTTCCATCTCATGTGCACACACATACACAGAGACACATACCCATCTTATGTGCATACATACACACCCATCCCATGTGTACACACACACACACACACACACATCTCATATTCATACATACACCCCCATCTCGTGCACACAGGCACACAGAGCCTCATCGACCCCCTTTCTAGGACTCTGCTTGAAGCACCCTGAGCACTCTGCCAGGGCCCAACTGTGGCAGCTCCAGCTGGTTCTGACCTGCACAGGCCCTTCTGAGGGTGACTGACCAGGGCAGAAGGGACACTCCCTGTCACCTGTTTCTCAATTCCATTTCCCTGTAAGCGTCCTGAGTGTGTGGACAACACCTCGCCAGGGGAGGGCCGGGCCAGGCACGGAGCCCAGGGATTCCCATGCCAAGCAGCTGCCTCAGTCCCTCCTGGGGGCAGGAGTTGCAAATTGCACCCAAGATTCCAGATTTGGTGTCACTGAGGGAACAGGGCCAGCTGTGTCCAGCATGGCACTGCCCTGGGGAAGACTCCTCTGAAGAAGCCATCTATGTGGGCCACATCGGCCGACAGACCACAACTACAGTCACTGCTGGCTGTGAGGACAGCCATGGGGGCCTGGACCAGCGTCTCCCAGGCCCCTTGGGCCCACTTCTCTATCCTGTAAGTGCTCTGTGGACTCTGGGCTGTGTTTTCTCTGGCAGCAAAGGTCCAAAGGAACCTTGGCCTGGTGGGCCGTCTCCTGGCGGGGAGATGGATGTGGTTTGGAGCCACGGGTGAATGGCTTGCCCTGCAGTGGAGGGGGCTCAGCTCTGATAACAGCCGTGAGCGTCTGTTCTGACCAAGACCCATTTCTCCTGTGCACACGCATGTGGAATGGAAGCCAGCAGGGAGGCTCCTAATTTATCATCAGTTGGTGGGAGAAGCTTCCCAGAGCAGGTTGTCCGTGGACTGTTTGGTCTCCTCGGGAGCAGCCAACGCCCTAGGGTGAGACCAGAAAGGCTGAGTTGACACCAGAGATTTAGGTCCAGGTTTCTAAGTGATAAGATGCTAGTGTCCAATTATGGCTTTGCAAGGCTCAGAACCTTCCCATGCCTCGGTGGTTCCAGCTGCAGAATGGGCATAATGAAAATCAGGCCACGCTGCTGCGTCAGCGAAAGGAACACCGTAGTGCGCCGTTCTGCTGTCTGTGAGTGGGCTTTCTGCAGTTCCGTGGGTGCAGACACGTTGCCCTGTCAGATGGACGGAAGCCTTGCATGTTGTGCAGCCATTGCTCGTGTGATGAGTAATGTTATTAGTAGAGATTATAGAAACTGAAAGTCCCGCTGATGGGCTGAGGTGGATGTGCTGAAAGCTGTGTGAGTGGCTCTGGTCCCTGCCCTGGTCCTGGCCCCTCCATTTCTCACCTGCCACGTCGGCACCAACATGTGTACCAAGCAGGCATGTGTACCTGCTGACCGGGACTGGCTTCAGACCTGCCCAAGAGGACTGGGGCTTAGCAGCGCATGCATGGCCACCAGGGCCTGTGGCCTGTTTCCTGCGTGCTCCGGGTTCCGGCGTCCACACAGCAGTGGAGAGCTAAAGGAAAAGACGGCTCCCCAGCTCTGTTCCAGGGTGCAGCTGTGAAAGCCTGGCTCCCTGTGCTGTGCCTTAGTTTACCCAGAGGTGCCATCGCTGCCTGTTTCAACACCCAATAAGCAACTTAAGGAAGGGAGAGTTTGGCTCACAGTTCAAGGGTTCAGTCCGTCATGGGGGCAGGAGGGGCACGGCGGCGGGAGCGTGAGGCGGCTGGTCACATGGCATCCACAGTCGGGAAGCAGTGAGAGACCCCCCGGATGCTGGTGCTCATCTCGCTTTTTTTCTTTTTATTGTCAGACCCCAGCCCATGGGATGGTGCTGTCTACACTCAGGATGGGTTGTCCCTCCTCAATTAACTCGATCTAGGCTCCCTCACAGACAGCCAGAGGTCTCTCTTGTGTGTGATCCTTGATCCTGTCAAGGTGACAGTATTAACCATCACACTACTGGTTGCCGGACAACAAAGCAGCTCCCAGCAGGTGGTCAGTGATGGTGGTGGGCGTATGTAAAGAAGTCACTGGGGTAGGAGGGCCGCGCACTGCCCCTTGCTGTAGCCTTGACTCCTCCCCGACACACTCCTGTGGGCCGCTGCCTGTCTGGTGCCAGCGGCTCAGGAAGAGACGTTGGCTGTCACAGATCCCAGGCTGGGCCTATTTCCCACACCTGAGATTCCCCACACTGAGAAGACTGAAGCAGGAACATCATGAGGTTCAGGCTGGCCTGGGCTACATAGCGAGGTGTTTGTGAAGTCTGATCCAGGTCTGTTGGTGACTCTAGGCTGGACAGGGCCAGTTTCTATTGGTGGATACGGGGGTAGTCTTGTTCCCTTTCTAGAATGTCCCTTAGCTTATGGCCCCTATGTCTGTCTTTAACAACCACAGTGTACCACAGCTGTCATTGTGGGCCCTGCTAGCCCTTTCCTACCTGCCTTGTCCACTGCAAGCCCCCTGTGGCTGCCCTGGGCCCAGCAGGAGACCCCTCCTCTCCTGCAGCTCTGCCCGGCTCAGTGAGGAGGTGATGTACCTGGCTCCCGACCAGGGCTGGAAGGCGTTTGGGGTTTGGAGTTCCTCTGACTGCAGCATCATGTGAAAATCACTGGGTTAGTCAGGCAGGCACTGACAGGTGGGGAAACAAAGATCCTGAATCCTCTGTGAGGTTCCTGCCTGGAGTGATCGGTGCCCACGTCCCTTCGCTTCTAACTCTGTCTTCAGGACTCCCAGAAATCTGGGCGGTCCACAGCCGGTCTTCGGAGGACCAGGAGAGCCAGTAGATCCTTACCACCACGGCTGTGATGTGACACCCAGCTGATTGTGCTCCACCAAAGGAGGGGCTGGAACTCTGTCCCCTCATCTCTGTCCCAGTCGGCTGTTCCACTGGGCAGTTTGTCCCTGGCTTGAGGCCCTTAGGCAACCCTTAGGAGCTTGTGCCCCACCCAGGCCCCTGGGGTCCCATTTCTGGTTCTGAGGCCACCCCTGGGGCTCCCCGTCCTCAGGCTGACAGGATGGGTGCCCTTGCCTTGAAACCCTTTGTAATCAGTGCCTGGCTACTATGGGGGACACTCCTCTCCCAGCTGCTTTGGGGGACATCCCTCACCTCCCAAGGAGGAGCCTTATACCCGCCAGGTGCCAGCCGGGTGTGTCGTTCCTATGGTCTCCCACTGACCCTGCAGCCTGGCCTCTGTCCTGTCTCCTGTCTGCTTCCAAGCACTCTCTGAGAACCGTGCCAGGCCCGCCTTATGCCATCTGTCTGCCGTGAGCCCACTCTGCACCTCCTCTCTCTCTCTCTGCAGGATGAGGGGTGGCTCTGGGTTCTGCAGTGGCTCTTGGGAGCATGGGCTCCCAAGCTACCCTCAGGAAGGAACCCAAGAAATAGCTAGGCGGATTCCTCTACAGGATGCCCTGGAGGGCTTTGGGGTGCCTGGGGGGGTATGGACAGGACACGCATGGATCTGGGCTTGCTATGTTCTGGGTTCAAGACCTGGCTCAACTCATTTCCAGCTTCTGATATAAGGCAGATGCCCTCTTGTGCCTCAGTTTCCCCATCTGTAGAAGAGAGGTGATGACTTGGTGGTGAGAAGGAGGCAAGAGTCAGCCACACTGACCGTGTATTGTGATGTCAGCACACACAGGATGTGGGGCTGGCTTGACCCCAGAGGTGGAAGTCGGTGACCAGCAGAAATCCTGCCTTTTCTGCCTCTTTTCTGCCTCTTTGTCCAGCACATGGGCTTCTGGCCAAGGCAGCGTCAGTCACCAGGAAGGGGGGGCTGCACTTGGGTACTCCGTTGGCAGAGCACCCGGGGCAGCATGGAGCCGAGTGTGGTGACACCAGGCACAGGAATGTTCCGCCTGTGCCCATGCCTGACGAGCTGCGGCCGTTCCGAGGGCACAATGGGCCACGGCCCACCGTTGACCCGGCTTCTCCGCAGTGGGGTTTCCTGGGCTCCAGTTCCCTGCCGTGTCCCTGCCTGTGGAGGTGGGAGCCAGTGTCAGTCCCACTAGCAGCGCTGTTGGGAACGTCCTATGATGTGGGGAACATGGCTTGCAAGTCAGAGCAGGAAGTCTGGAAATTTCTAGATGCTGCAGCCAGGGAAGAAAGGCCTTTCATCCAGAGAAAGAAGGCTGCGGAGCCTCTCAGAGCACAACAGGGTTCACAGGGCCTAGGCAGAGCCTCTACCTGTCTCCCTACCTCCCTCCCTCCCTCCCTGTCCCTTCCTTCCCTCCTTTCTCTCCTCCCTCCTTTTCTCCCTCCCTCTCTGTGTCCTTGTCCCTCCCTCCCTCCCTCCCTCCCTCCCTCCGTTCATTCCCTCCCCCATTTTATTGTTTTGTTTTGTTGACATGGTATCTGATGGTATAGCCCTGGCTAGCCTGGAACTCTTTCCATCCTCCTGTCTCAGCCTCCCAGTGCTGGGATGACAGACCTGTGTCATCACCCCGGGCAGATCCACCTTCTTTTTCTGATGGCTCCTACCTATCTGGGGCCACTGCGTGTGCCTACCACAGGTGTCCAGTTCCATAAAATGGGATAGAAAGGAAAGGTGGCTGGAAAGTTCCAAAAGGTCACGCAGACCTCAGTGCCTGGCGTATTGTGGCCCAGGAGGTGTGTGTGTGTGTGTGTGTGTGGTGTGTGTATGGAGTGTGTGTGGAGTGTGTGTGTGTGTGGAGTGTGTGTGTGTGTGTATGTGTGTGTGGAGGGTGTGTGTATGTTTGTGTGTGGAGTGTGTGTGTGTGGAATGTGTGTGTGTGTGTGTGGAGGGTGTGTCTGGAGGGTGTGTGTGTGTGTAGGGTATGTGTGTGTGTGTGTGGTGTGTCTGTGTGTGTGGAGTGTGTGTGTGTGGAGTGTGTGTGTGGTGTGTGTGTGTGTGTGGTGTGTATGTGTGTGGTGTGTGTGTGTATGTGTGGTGTGTGTGTGTATGTGTGTGTATGTGTGTGTGTGTGGTGTGTGTGGTGTGTGTGTGTGTGTGTGTGTGTGTGTGTGTGTGTGTAAGGTGTGGGGTTGCTGTTCCTCAACTGGAATTTCTGCCGCAGAAAGTTGGAGCTAGAGATTTCCAGACGAAAAGCTACTGTGCGTTCTGGTTAGTTAAACAGTTAAATGTGCAGGCTGGAGGACCTGAGTTTGAGCCCTAGCACCCACATAAAAGCCAGCCAGGGCCAGTATATTTTTAAGCCCAGTACTGGGCATGGGGAGGCAGGAGGCTCCCTGGGATTCCCTCACCAAGCGCTTCAAAAAATAAGGAGAGAGCTGGGTGGGGTAGCACATGCCTTTAGTACCAGCACTCGGAGACAGAGGCAGGCGGATCTCTGTGAGTTCAAGGCCAGCCTCGTCTACATATGAGTTCCAGGACAGCTGGGGCTACAGGGAGACCCTGTCTCAAAAAGACCAAAAAAGAAACAATGAGAGGTTGAGGAAAACAGCAGACATTGGCCTGCGGCCTCCATACACAAACATACACAGACACACGAGACACCATGAGCAGCCACCTAAGTGAGTGCTGTAGGCCCTGGTGGGGTGTCGGGGGCCGCTAGATGCCCTTAGAGTAACGGAGCCGCCCTCCCACAGCAGAGAGCGACACTGTCCCTGGGCCCCAGCTGCTTTCTTTCCTGACCTTCTAGCTTGGAGCGTACCCCATTAGAAGCCCAGCCCCTTCATCATTCCTTCCCACCCTGGGATGTTAAACCTCCTGCGAATGTGTCTTGCCTCTGCGCTTCAGGAGTGTGTGTGTGTCTGTATATGTGTGTTTACGTGTATGTATATCTATATATGTATGTGTATCTGTATGTACATGTGTATATGTGTGTATCTGCATGTACATGTGTATTTGTATCCGTATGTGTGGTATGTGTATGTGTCTATGTATGTGTGTGTCTATGTGTGTGTCTGTGTTGTGTGTGGCTGTGTGTGTGTGGCTATGTGTGTCTATATGTGTGTCTATATGCGTGTCTGTGTGTGTGTCATGTGTTGGAGCTCTGAAGGTCAAGGTGAGCATTTCACAGCCCTGATGTACTCACATGAGAAAAACCTACCGCAAACTGTAAGCCGCTAACCAGACTCCCCGCCTGCCCGGCTCAACTCTGACCAGAGCCAGGGACACCTCAGGGCCACAGCTGAACTTGTGTCTTGGACGATGTGACCCCTTGAATCAAACACAAGCAGAGGAATATTTATTGAGTGACTGCTGTCATACATGTCATATGTCACCTGGAACTCAGTGGCTCCAAACTGGCTTCTTCCCTTAAAGTTAGAGGTCAGAGGTCGGAGCTAGGTTTCCTCTGAGGCATCACAGGCCTCCTGGAGGCCCGGGGCAGGACCTGCTCTCCTGCTCTCCAGAGCTGCAAAGGTTAGGAGAGCACGGCCTCCTGCCCATCCCCCGCAGAGGCTCTGGGTGCAGCCGGTCATTGGTCCAGGAAGGGGTGTGATGGAGCACCAGTCACAAGCCAAGGCCACAGACAGTTGCAGAAGCAGCCCAGCACCTGGAGTGGGTGGAGGTTCACCCCAGAAACCAGGCTCTGCACCTCTCACCAGGAAAGAACAGTTAGGTCACCGTATGTCCTTATGGGCCCAGCCTGCACCACGGAGCAGCTGAGCCCCAGTACTCACCTCCACAGCCTACCTGTCCTACGTGGACAAAGATGAACCTCTGGGAGGGAAAGACCCGCAGAGAAGGTGCTGTGTAGCTCCAGGGCTCCGGGGAGGAGGCAGCGCAGGTCTGGGCCTCTGGACTGAAGAGGGCAGAGAAGGCTCCGGTGGGGGGAGAGCTGAGGCCGAGATGCCGATGTCGCTCTTCTCCTCCCTTCCTGTACCCTTGTTTTCTGCCGGCAACCGTGGGACCCAGAGCAGACAGCATGGCTACTAGATCCTGTGGCTCCCAGCCTCCTCAGCCCCCTGCAGCACCTCCCAGAGCCCACCACCCACCCCGTCTGCCGCTCTGTAGACCCGCCTCTGACAGGCCTGACTTCTTCTGGCATTCGCCCCATCTCACAAACATACACACAGCACCTGCTGAGGCTGGACCCTCACAGCCAGAGGCCAGAAGAATCTCCTGCTGAGCCATCCTGCCTCAAGCCTTAAAGTTGTCTCTGGTGGGGTGCCGAGTGTTTATGTGAATGAAGGGTGGTCTTGGTGGGGGCCACCTGGGTGAGTCCTTTAGGGCCCCTGTGTTCTCCAGAACACAGCCGACCTCCCTTGTGGAATAAATACCTTGGTCAGCTGGGTCCTGCCAGGAGGACAGCAGCCAGAATAGACAGGAGAAACAGGAAGTGGCTGGCCACTGCTGAGCCAGGCCTGGCTCCCGTGTACAGCCGCTGTGGCTGTGCCAGGTGACGGAGACCGGGAGGCAGGAGGAGGTCTGCCCAGCCCTACTGGGCTGAGGCCCGCACCCAGCCCCAAGACTAGAGTCTGCTCCTTAAAGTAGCTGCAGAAGATCAATCAATCACAGAGGGAGGGCAGCCAGGAGACCTGGCCTCCCCCTCCTCCATCTGCGCTTCATCACTGGCCCCTCATCCTCCTTGGGTGGGAGGCAGCTACACCGTGACCGAGGCCACGGCCACCCCACACGAAGCCACAGGCTGGGCCAGTCACCTCTCATGGAGGAGCCCAGGAGGAAAGTGTTCCAGCCATAGTGAGTCCCAGAGAAGGCCTGTGTCAGGCATAGAGGAGGGAGTGTGGATCTCAGGACTGGTGTCTAGACATCTAGGACAGGAGATGGATGTGGGGTGGCAGAGGGCTGAGTCCTGACTCAGAAGTGGCTGTGTCCTGGATCGGGGACACTGAGGCACATGTGGGGGATAAGTGCTAGGAAGAATGTTGGGACCCCAAGGCCAGGCTAGAGGACTCTGAGCAGTGGGAACCAATCCTCCTGAGGTGTCCCCTTCTCACCCTGGGCTTCTTGCCTCCTCACACTGGCAGCTGTGGGTCAGAGGCTGACCCCAAGCTGGCCTGGACACCAAGGCTGCACTCAGGCTGGCCTGCAGCCTTCCAGTTTGCTAGATGCCTGAGGCCACTGAGCCCCACCTGCTCTGAGGGTGCCCAGCAGCCTAGGGAAGCTGTGTGCAAAACCCAGGATAAACCCATCTCCTGGGCCTCCTGCTGCTCCTGGAAACAGCAGGGCAGAGGGGAAGGAGGACCCCAGACAGTGCCGGGGGATCTAGGGCTACAGGGTTGTAGGCCAGCTGGAGGGCCAGGGACATGCTTAAGGGGCCCAGCTCTGAGGAGACTTGGAGGACCCAGGTATAATGATGAGGCTCTGGAACTCCTGCTCCCGTCTGGGGTACATGGGGCCACCCCCACTTCTTTCGTCATAGGCAATGGCTGTGTGGGGCCCGGCTAAGGTCAGGAGGCAGAGTCCTGGTTCTGACTCTCCGTGGCACGGACTGTAGCTTACACATGCTGTCTGATTCAGAGAACACAGGTCCTTGTGTCTGCCTCGGCCAGTCTGGGCATGGTAGTGAGCGCCCGTGACTGTATTTAAGGAGGTTGTGAGCCCCACTAGGGAGTCATTGGGGGACCAGATGAAACCATCTTTCCCCCTGGGTCTTAGACTCCAGATCTCACCTCCTTCTGGTGCCTTGTCTGTGCAATAATAGGGACCATAACATCAGCCTTTAGTGAGCACCTACTGTATACCAAGACACTTCCCCAGTTCATACCCTCCCCACTGTGGGGTAGGCTTGGCGTACCCCGTGTTCCAGATGAAAAAAATCCAGAGAGAAAAAATCCAGGGAGAGTCTATTGTAGTTTATTGACAGTC